TCTCAGCTATAAAAATTATACATAGATAAGTTAAAAAAGAAATCAAGGCCTGGCAGGGGGGCTCACACCCGTAATCCTAGCACTTTGGGAGGCTGAGGTGGGTGGATCACCTGGGGTCAGGAGTTTGAAATCACCCTGGCCAACATGGTGAAACCCAGTGTCTACTAAAAATATAAAAATTAGCAGGGGCTGGTGGTGGGTGCCTGTAATCCCAGCTACTTGGGAGGCTGAGGCACAAAAATTGCTTAAACCCGGGAGGCTGCGATTGCAGTGAACTGAGACTGTGACACTGCACTCCAGCCTGGGCGACAACAGCGAGACTTCATCTCAAAACAAAAAAAAATCAAGGCTTTAATGTGAATAGATGTCCAGGAAGTGCCTCCAAATTTAGGTTATGAGACATCATTAGAAAATAAACGTGAACAGAGGATACAGTTTAAGTGTAAACACAATATACAACTAAAAATGAATCAGCTCTTTGCCACATGCATTTTTATTAGTTTTCTAGGGGACAGAGGTAACACTTGCCAAGACAGTGTAGGCTTTACCGTTTAGTCGTTAATGTAGAATTGTCTTTTAAAGACCTGTTGCCAAAATAAACAAGATGTTTTCAAAATTATCCAACCTGTCTAATAATAGTAGTCCTTTGCTTTAAACTAAAATATACATATAATATATTATATATATATATAAATATACTGTGTGTGTGTGTGTGTGTGTGTGTGTGCGTGTGTGTATATATATAATTTAAGATTTATAGCCAGGTACAGTGGTTTATGCCTGTAATCCCAGCACTTTGGGAGTTAAGGCAGGTGGGTCACTTGAGGCCAGGAATTTGAGATCAGCCTGGTGAACATGGCAAAACCCTGTCTCTACTAAAAATACAAAAAATTAGCCGGGCATGATAGCACATGTCTATAGTCCCAGCTACTTGGGAGGCTGAGGCACGAGGATCGCTCAAGTCCAGGAGGCAGAGGTTGTAGTGAGCTGAGATAACACCACTGCACTCCAGCCTAGGCAACAGAGCTGTCTCAAAATAAATTAAATAATAAAAATAAAATAAAACATAATTTTTTTGTTTTCCTTTTCTTTTGCTTTATTTGTTTTTAGTTTTTTAATTTTTATAACTAAAATTTCAGAAATGCAGAATACAGTCGGGTAGGAAGAAAATAAAGCAAGCAACTCAGACACCAACACCACATTAGGTACATTTGTGTAACAAGTCAAATTGTTTTTTTAAAAAAATATACTTTAAATATTGAACAAAAGATTTAATCTTGCTATGTAATATTTGTTTCAAAGTGGTGTGCTTAGAGAAGTCTTGTTTAGGTTATAGGATACTCCTGACATGGGTAGAGAAGTTGGCTTTAAGGAGAAAATAATAGTGTGAATGATCTATATGCAACTTCCCTTTTTAAAAACAGAAGTTGAATTTGTAACACCAAATTTAGAAAGGCGAGTGGACGGCAGCAAATACCCCAAGAATATCATCTGTAGCACACATGCCCACTGCTGTTCTGTTCTGCTACAAATAAATGTACACTCTCTGATCCTGAACTTGCTCAGACAATGCATATATTTAATCGTCCCTAAAGATGATTCATTTAAAAGAAAACATACATCCGAAAGAGTCACAACAAGTAAAAATCTCACTTAGAAAGCGCCAGATTCTCTCACTATGAGTGCAGAGCTATTCATCTGGCCTCTTTACACAGAGTGCAGCACAATCCAGTACCGGGCCTACAGAAAAAATAGTTTTTGTGGGACTAATGTTGATAATTTCAACATCATTTCTGTTTGACTTCCTTTAAGAAACTAAAGCCCAAGTTACAAAAAGGTAGAAAAAAGTTTTAATGAGAGATTCATTTTCAATCCATTCTGATTTGCTGTCCCTTTTAAACTGTTAGACATCATGATTTTAGTTTTAACAACAACAATTAACAGCTATGAGAATAAGGATTCCAGAATTAAGATTTTCTCATTATAGTCAAAAATGAAAAGTGAGAAAACAAATACTTTTCCAAAAGTTCATCAGATGAAAAGATCAAAATTAATGGGGAGCTATACCATTTAATGGACAAGAATACTTAATAATACTTAATTTGTTGATAAGTTCTCCCCCGAACTTATCAACAAATTAAATGCAATTTAAATCCCATATTTTCCTCCAATGGAACCTGGCAAACGAATCCTAAAAGTCATCTGAAATAGAAAAGGATCAAGGACAGTTGTAGTAAGTTTAAGGAACAAGATGGGGGACATGTCCTATCAGAGCTTATTATAAACCTGTAGTAATTAGAATAGAGTGGAGTTGACATAGGTATAAATAGATCAATGGAACAGAATTGAGAGTTCAGAAACAGAACCACATATATATGGAAGTGTAATATATGACTGAAGTGAAATTACAGATCAGTAAGGAAAGAATTCAATAAGTAGCTCAGGGCTGGGCACAGTGGCTCATGCCTTAATTCCAGCACCTTTGGAGGCTGAGGCAGAACTGCTTGAACCCTGCCTGGGCAACATGAAGAGACCCTGTCTCCAGAAAAATTTTAAAAATTAGCTGAGCAGACTGGGCGTGGTGGCTCACGCCTGTAATCCCAGCACACTGGGAGGCCAAGGCAGGTAGATCATGGGGTCAGGAGTTCGAGACAGCCTGGCCAACCTAGTGAAACCCATCTCTACTAAAAAGACAAAAAAATTAGGCAGGCATGGTGGCAGGTGCCTGTAGTCCCAGCTACTCAGGAGCCTGCGGCAGGAGAATCACTTGAACCTGGGAGTTGGAGGTTGCAGTGAGCCAAGGTCATGTCACCACACTCCAGCCCAGGCAACAGAGCAAGACTCCATCTCAATTAAAAAAAAATTAGCTGAGCACAGTGGTCTCATCTTCTCAGGAGGCTGAGATGGGAGGATTGCTTGAGTTCAGGAGGTCAAGGCTGCAGTGAGCTGTGTTGCCACCACTGCACTCCAGCCTGGGTGACAGAGTGAGACTCTAACTCAAAAAAAATTATAAATAAATAGCTCAGGGCCACCCGATTACCTGTATAAAAAATAAATTAGGTGCCTAATATTTACCAAAAAAATACATTTCAAGTAGATGAAAATCTAAATATATAAAACAAAATTTAAAACTTTAGGGAGGAAATATATCAAAATATGTTTTTATCTTTAGGATAAGGATGGTGTGCTGATTATGATTCATCTGAGATTCATTCTCCACTTGCCTCTGCTTGGCTCTATGATTAAAATGTTGACATCTAGGGACCACCTCATCCAAGTTCCTTTGTTCACTAGCTTCCAGTTGGATTCAAAGAAGGTACCAGAAGGAGATCAATGGGTCAGAAGGTGGAGAAGCTGGGGTCCTTCTTCCCTGCTCCTTCCTGCTTTGGGCCCCCACCTGTGAGTACCCATCCCTCCACAACTATAGCTTCTGCCAGGTGGCCCCTTCTCCAGGATGCCAACTTCCACTGGGTTCTAGCAACACCATTTCCTCCCCTTTCCCCTTCAGGCTGAAGGACAGCAACAGCTTTCTACAGTTATTTGTCTTCTGTGCCTCAACTTTTGTCACATCTCTGTAAAAAGTCCCTTTACTAGTGTCTCTTTAGTTGAATCATTTCAGTGGAATTCTGTTTCTTGCAGAGACTCTTAACTATTAAGAAACAAGACACCCAATGAACCAGCCATAAAGAAAAAGATCAATAGCTTTGATTACACTAAAATTAAACATCTCTTACACAAAATACGCTACAAAAAAGTTAAAGGCAGGCTAAAGATTGTCAAATGATGCATGTGATTCATAGAAATAGAATCAACAAGAGATTAGTATTCAAAATTAACAAAGAACTCCTCTGAGTTAATCTTTTAAAAGACATATAAACCCAATAGAAAAATGGGTAAAGAAACTAAAACATCCAATGAACACAGGAATAGATACTCAACTTCATCAGCAAAAAGAAAAATGCAAATCATGTTGTGTGCAATGGCACACACCTGTAATCCCAGAACTTTGGAAAGCTGAGATGGTAGGACACTTGAGGCCCAGGAGTTCAAGACCAGCCTGGGCAATACAGCTAGACCCTCATTTCTATTAAAAAAATAAAATAAAATAAAATAAAATAAAATAAAATAAAATAAAATAAAATAAAATAAAAATGCAAATTATAAAGAAATATTTCAAAGCTATCAAATTGACAAAAATCAAAGTTTTATATGTATACCAATATCAAATATTGATGAGAAGACAGACAAAAAGGTACTCTCATAAAACTTGTGGGTATATAAGTTGGTATGACCACTTTGGAGATATATAGGCATTTTCTTTGTTGTTTCTGAGAGTCCTGCTCTGTCGCCCAGGCTGGAGTGCAGTGGTGCCAACGCCTCTCACTGCAACCTTGACCTCCCAGGCTCAAGCAGTCCGCCCACTGAGCCTCCCAAATAGCTGGGACCACAGGTGTACACTATCATGCCCAGCTAATTTTTAATGTGTTTTTGTATAGATGGGGGGGTCTCACTATGTTGCCCAGGCTGGTCTCGAACTCATAGGCTCGAGTAATCCTCCTGCCTCAGCCTCCCAAGGTGCTGGGATTATAGGCCTGAGCCACCATGCCCAGCCTAATTTGGCACCGTCTAGTAAAGTTAAAGACGCACACACCCTGCCACATACATACAGTCTTTTTCAAGTAGAAAAATAAACTCCACAGAAAAGGATTCAAGTGACTGTTTCCTCAGTTCTCCCAAGGATGGTATAAAGTTAAAATCTGTGGTGTGCTAGCAAATGTTTAACAACCTGGCTAGGGGGTAGGGAAGGAAGCTTTTATTTGTAGCACTTGCTGATTTCTATGGTATAAATACCCACACCATGGCTGATTTCAAGCCTCCCAACTGAACCCATGAATTAGGAAGAGATTAGCACATTCATTCTTAGGAGTGGTTATCAATTTTCAGCTCCAGCTCAACATTTCAACCATTCCAGACTTACAGGACAAAAGTTAAGTCATTACCTTACAAAGGATCCCTTGGGAGATTGGGGCTTCATTCTCTCGAAGAATTCTGGATGAGAAGGGCTAAGTCTAGAATCTAGAGAAACTCTTGTTTTTATCCCCATGGAGACATAGGAGAAGAATCTATGTGGTAGTATCACCTGTAATAGCAAGATATTGTAAGCAACCTGAAAGATTATCAAGATGATACACCTGAAAACTATAGCGGTTAAAAAGAACTAAATGTCTTTCCAGCCCTGGCCCCAGCCCCTACAGCTGCCGGGATGTTAATGCCTAATAATAACTGGATTGCCATTTATGAACTCCTTTTTAAGGAAGGAGTCATGGTGGCCAAGAAGGATGTCCACATGCCTAAGCACCTGGAGCTTGCAGACAAGAATGTGCCCAACCTTCATGTCATCCAGGCCATGCAGTCTCTCAAGTCCTGAGGCTATGTGAAGGAACAGTTGGCCTGGAGACATTTCTACTGGTACCTTACCAATGAGGGTATCCAGTATCTCTGTGATTACCTTCATCTACCCCCGGAGATTGTGCCTGCCACCCTACGCCACAGCAGTCCAGAGACTGGCAGGCCTCGGCCTAAAGGTCTGGGGGGTGAGCGACCTGCAAGACTCACAAGAGGCGAAGCCCACAGAGATACCTACAGACAGAGTGCTGTACCCCCTGGTGCGGACAAGAAAGCCAAGGCTGGGTGGGGCTGGGTCAGCAACTGAATTCCAGTTTAGAGGTGGATTTGGTCGTGGACATGGTCAGCTACCTCACTAAAATTGGAGAGGATTATTTTGCATTGCATAAACTTATAGCCAAAAAAAAAAAAAAAACCCTTAAAAAAAAAAGAACTAAAGGTACTACATATCAACAAAGTGTTGATCTCAAAATATACAAAATATACAATTATATCTCAAGAACAAATATTGAATAAAATAAAGCAAGTTATATATACAATACCATTTATATAAAATCTTTTTAAACATGCAAAACATTGCATATATAGATACATATATGTATGCAATTAAAGAAAACAGATTAAAAAATTCGAGAAAATAGTTACCTCTGGTAACAGGAGGAGGGTAATGGAATCAGGGAGAGACAGACAGGTGATTTTTTTTTAAAGTAGACAATCAAAAGCAAATAAATATATTGTAATTGTTTCATTGTTTCAGAATATAATGTTAAAGAAATACATTTTCTTTTCTTTCTTCCTTATGATTCCCATGAAGTAGAACTGTGCAAGATTTTTTTCCCCTACAACTTCTGGTACCTGTTAATAAATACTGGACAATATTTGTATTGCAAACATTCATTTATTCCCCATATTTCAGTAATAAACAATTTACTCCTCTCATTCTTTCTGATATATTATCCTTCTTGCTCTCTCTTAATATTAGACTGCAAAAGCCAATGAAAATGCTAAATCAACCTAAAGTTCTTCAACAGGAAACCCAGTTGATAGCCCAAGTATAAAGGAATAAGTGGTTTAAAGCCTGTTTTGGGTATATTTCTTACCTGCAAGGCAAACTTCTATTATGCTAACAAGGATAAATCTTTCTCACAAAATATGGAAGACTTCTTGCTACTTCCTTAAAATGACAAAGAACTCAGCACTAAAAGTGAAATCTTATTATTTTTTTTAAGCAAGAAATAGAAACACAGTTTCCACATCAAACATCTTTCACTAGGTGTTCAGGTGACCACCAAGTGCTACGCCAAACACATTGCGTGTCTTTTTTACTATGACTCTACTTATTGTGGATTCTGACCTTTGGAACACAATGTTTCAGTGCATGTGTAGTGTGACTTTTTTTCAGAGAGACTGTCTTGAAATAAGTCTAGGTTTTAAGCACACACTTTTCTGCAAGCTAGCAGGCATTCTGAAGCTAGGTGGTTCTAAATAAAGAACTCTAGTCAACAACAGGAAATAACTCCCACAGAAAAAAGGGGCAGAATACAAACTCTCACCAACTCTTGTACACAGCTCACAACGGTCTTTTGTTCCATGCACATTAAGCCTGAAATCTTTACTTTTCAGAGGATGTTGGAGCCTTTGCAGAGCAATTAAACGTTTCTTTTCCTTTTGCTAGTGTCCTTGCCTTCTTTCCTCTGAGGAAGTTAACCTTACAACTAACTGCTTACTATGAGATAGCACATCAGACAACGGAACAGTTTGTATTTTAACATTTTTTTCTTAATGGAACTTCTCAAGAAAAAACAAGTTTTGGTTTAAAAACTCACTTTTCCATGTAATATATGTGACACTATGTAGACACACACATATATGTACCAAAGGAGTAGGTTCGCGTGCAGCATATGTTTCTAAATCTATCAAAAAGGATGCATCACATTAACCCATAAATCTAGATTGTGGGTTATCAACACTCTACCAGTGATCAGCAAATCAATGCAACTAGAAGGCAAATGTATATTCTCTTCAAAGGTTCCCGTCTTGACTCTTCAGAAAAAGAGGAAGAACCATCTAGATCCCAAGCCAACCAAACAGACATGTGGATGGTAGTATTCAAAGTCAAAGTGACAGCTATTAGAACAGACTGGTAGCATTCAACTACAACGCAGCACAGGTGCTCCTGACAAGGGAATGAGACTTAGAAAAAAAGCTTAAATGTGACTGAAGATTGGTATTTTTCCCTCTCTTGTACATTCAGTCTTGCCCTCACTACTGGCTCCTTCTTGCAATCAACAAATTACATATTCAGTACATTCTATCTTCATTTTTAAAACAGGAATCAATCCTCTCCATGTTTAATGCTGCAGGAATGCTGCTGGTCGTTACTTCTGTCTATCCACAGCTTTATTCGTCCTCCTGCTTCCTCTCTCTACTGCAGGACAACTCTACTGACTACCCCACAAACAGGCAACAGTGACCCCTAAATGCCATGGCCAATGGACACTTCTCAATTCCTCATACTACTTAGCCTCTCTGAAGCATCTGACATCACTGACCACCTCAAACGGTTTCCTTCAAGTTGAACTGTAGTCTCCTGGTCCTTATCTCCTTGGCCACTTAATAGTTTCCTTTGTTGGCTCCTCTTCCTCTGCCCTCCCTATAAACCTGTAGTTTTAAACTTAAACAAACAAACAAACAAACAAACAAAAAACAAAACTTCTGGCTGCAGTTTGGAGCCAGAGAGGGATTAAGTACTGTTCTGGGGGCTGGGGATGGAGATGGCCATGGTTCATTTCAGGGTTGGGAGTGGATATGGGAATGGTTGATTAAAATACTAGAATCATAGAAATTTACAAACAAAATACTAGAATCATAGAAATTTACGAACGTGTTTTGAAAAACTATTTCCCACTTAATAATCCAAGTTACATAGTTAACTATGTAAATATTAGTATTCCCTATGGTTTTGTCTTGCCCCTTTTCTCTTCTCATCCTAGAAACTCTCCCTAGGCAATCTCACCCATTCTCAGGGCACCTATATGCTAATGACTCACAAATCATTAACTACATTCCAGACCTTTCTCTCTGAGCTCCAGATGTGACCTTTTTATATAGGAAGACCATGCAACCCAGTTTATAAGGGTCATTCCTGGTTTATGCTCGTTATCCTGGCATAATTATTAATAGCATCCTGTGTCAATTTCAAAAAGGTCCTGGTTTAAATGATAAAAGCATATAATTAACCTATTCATGCCCCATTGGCTATCAGACATCTCCACTGAGTATCATAAAGGCATCTCCAACTCACAGCACATCTAAAGTTGTCCTGATCATATTCTCCTTAAATTGCCCCCTACATTCCAAATGCCTAAATATAGTTAAGGCACAACATCCACCTGGAGTCTTCATTGGAAATCTCAGATTCAAAGCATCTTCCGTTTCTCTTATACTCACATTCATCAAGACACAATCTTCTCTCTTAAATATTTTCCATATATGTCCCATTTATCTCACCACTCCCCTAGTCAATACCCTAGTTATCTTTCACTTTGATTGTGGCAACAATCTGTCTCCTAATTTCCAGTCTCGAATATTCTCCTTGAATCCATCCACATGACTTCCTGTATGACAGGTAAGATGGTAGGTCCGAGAAATACAAAATGAACAAGAGATGCCCCCACCCAGTTCAGGGGGAAGATTAACTCATCATTGTGATGCAATGCGTTATGTGGTGTAAGAGACATGCACAGGATGACAATGGACATACACAATGGACATACACAGAGCCTGGCCAGTGTGGAATAAGGCCAGGAAGTGGATTTTAGGATAAACAGGAATTAGTCAAGGTCATTACTCAAGGTCATTAAAGGCAGATGGAACAGGTTTGAAAGATAAAACCATATAATTAACCTACAAAGCTGAAGTATAAATTTTAGGCAGGGAGTGGCAATACATAACACTAGAGAGTTTGATGAGCAAAGATAGGGAGGTGAGAAATAGCATGAGATGTGGGTACAGAGCTCAAGTATAAATTTCAGGTAGGGAGTAGCAATATATAACACTAGAGAGTTTGGCTGGGGCCGGTCTAGGAAGGTCTTGGAGGCAATACTGAGTTTGGCCTTTATATTCTGTCATTAAAAGATCTTCCATGGGTGAATGGCATGATGGGATTTTCATTTCAGGAAGTTAACTCCCCATTTATTCTTGAGATTTACTGAGTGATTCTAAACTTTACTTAGAAAAACCAACAAATAAGGAAAAAACAAAATTTGAAAGAAGATGTTAAAACATATTTAAAAACAATAATTAAGGGTTAGATTCTGGCAAAAGAAAAATATAAATGAATCCGAACTGGAACACTTGAAACAGACTTTAGTAAAAAGAGTTAGTATACACTAAAGACACATTCTTGTTAGTGAGGTAAGGAAGGCATGTGTAATGAATGGTTTATTATTTAGGGAGGAAAAATGAACATTAGATCCTTGCATCATACAATATGATAAAACAACAGAGATTAAAAAATAACATTAAAAAACATAAACATAAGAGAACTAAAAGAAATTACCAATGAATAATTGATCTTAGAGGTAGATAAGACCCTTCCAAACATAAAGCAAAAGAGCCATAAAGATAAAACTGACTACATTAAGGAAAACTACATAACAAAAAACACCATAAGCAATTTTTTTTTAATGACAAACCAGGAAAAGTAACTGCAACACAGATAACAAAGACTTAGTAACTTTAAACCTAAAGAGGTCTTATGAATCAATTAGAAAACCACCAATACTAAATTTAAAAACACTAAAACAAAATTTTATAAATGAGCAAAGGACACAAACTCACCACTACCAAGGGGAAAAATGCATGAAAAAGCAATACAAATTTAAAACAACTGTAATTTTCACATACTAAGGTGGCTAAAGTTGTTTTAAAGCTGATAACAATGTGAGGGTACAGTGGACAGGTTGTCTTACGGTTACTGATGTGAGTATAAACTGATTCAACCTTGGGAAAGACAGAGTTTTGGTGATGTGTATCAAGAACCTTTTGCTGGGTGCAGCGGCTCAGACCTGTAATCCTAGCACTTTGGGAGGCTAAGGGGGGCAGATCTCGAGGTCAGGAGTTTGAGACCAGCCTCGCTAACCTAGTGAAATCTCATCTCTATTAAAAATACAAAAATTAGCTGGGCACAGTGGTGGAAGCCTACTCAGGAGGCTGAGGCAGGAAAATCACTTGAACCCCGGAGGTGGAGGTTGCAATGAGCCGAGATCGCACCGCTGCACTCAAAAAAAAAAAAAAAAAAAAAAATTACTGAATGCTAAGTATGTCCTAGTGTTTTTTGTTTTTGTTTTTGTTTCTTGTCACCCAGGCTGGAGTGCAATGGCACGATCTTGGCTCACTCCACCTCCCAGGTTAAATCAACCTCAACCTCCCGAGTAGCTGGGATTACAGGTGCATGCCATCAAGTGCAGAAAATTTTTGTATTTTTAGTAGAGATGGAATTTCACCATGTTGGCCAGGCTGTTCTCAAACTCCTGACCCCAGGTGATCCATCCACCTTGACCTCCCAAAGTGCTGGGATTACAGGCGTGAGCCACTGTGGCCAGCCTAACTATGTTCTAGTTTTAGGAGCTGGAATATGGCTGCAAACAAAACACAAAATCCCTGTTTTCACAGATCTTATGTTCAGGATGGTGGGAGAAAGTGGAATAAATTCACAAATTATATGGTATATTAAAGATTAAGTGCTATGGGAGAAATAAAGAGGAAAATAAGATGAGGAATGTGTATTTGGGAGTATGTGTGTGGGGCAGGGCTGCAATTTTAAAGAGGTGGTTGAATGTACCTTGATAAGAAAATGACATTTGGGTATAGACCAGAGGGAGATGAGGAACACAAGTCAGTTATCTGGCAGAAAAGCTTTCATGGCAGCAAAGGGAACAGCACGAGTAAGCACAATGTGAGTGTGGAGCATGCCTGTGGCCTTGAGGATGTTCACGTGGAAGAGAGGAATCAGTAAAGGGGAGTGTGGAAGGAGAGGAGGTATGGGAATGTGAGAAAGGCAGGTTGTAGAGGGCTGTATAAGCCAATGCAATGATGGTGGCTTTCACCCTGAATCAGATGGGAAGTAAGTATTGCACTACCCTAAACCCCTACTGATTATTCTCAATCCAATGTCCCATGGTCCTATGAAAACAAGTCAGGTCACTCTCCTCTCAAAACTCTCCAATGATGGTGATGGGGTCATAATGATTGGTGATTTGTTTAGTGTTGCTTTGAGTCTGTAATCTCTTCAAGTGTGCCAACAATTCTAATATTTGAAAATGTGCTCCCAACACTAACCAATGGAGAACCCCTGGGTTGGTGTCATGGTTAGGAGCTTGAGCTTTAGAGTTAAGGTAGATCTGTCACTATGAGCTTTCCACTTATGGACCTTGGGTACATTTCTTAATCTCTAATTCTCACTGTAAAATAGGGAAATAGGCCGGGCACAGGGCTCACATCTGTAATCCCAGCACTATGGGAGGCTGAGGTGGGTGGATCATGAGGTCAGGAGTTTGAAACCAGCCTTGTCAACATGGTGAAACCCCGTCTCTACTAAAAATACAAAAAATTAGCCAGGCGTGGTGACAGGTGCCTGTAATCCCAGCTACTCAGGAGGCTGAGGCAGGAGCATCGCTTGAACCCAGGAGGTGGAGGTTGCAGTGAGCTGAGATTGCACCACTGCACTCCAGCCTGAGCAGCAAAGCAAGACTCTGTCTCAAAATAAATACATTAAATAAATACATTAAATAAATAAAGGGAAATTATCCAACCCACGGAGTTATAAAGATAAATAAATTATTGCTTTTTTTTTCCAAAATGACAGGAGCCATTTTATTATTTTAATTTTTCATAGAGACAAGTGTCACTTTGTTGCCTAGACTGGTCTCAAACTCCTGGTTTTAAGCAATCTTCCTGCCTTGGACTCCCAAAGTGCTAGGATTACAGGAGTGAGCCACCAGCCTGAGATAATTTTAAAAGGTCCAAGGACCTGACACTAAACACCCATGTTGGAGGAAGAAGACAATAAGATGAAAGGTAAGTGTTGCTGGAGGGGTGCATGCGTTTCCCAGGAGGAGAAGGGAGACAGAATAATGTTCTGAGATATCATGCGAGGTTTCTTGCTGTCTAACCTTCTATGCAGTTGGAGGTGGCCAGGTGCTGCAGTTCTGGCTAGTCAGGTGTAAGGGGAAGTCTGCTGGAAGTTCTGGGAAGGAATCTTCTTTCTGGTAGCCATCTGTGACCGTGATGTAACAAGAATAAGGGTAAGGCTAGGCACAGTGGCTCATGCCCGTAATCCCAGCACTTTGGGAGGCCAAGGGCAGGAGGATCACTTGAGCCCAGGAGTTCAAGACCAATCTGGACAATATAGCGAGACCTCATCTCTACTCAAAATAACTTTTAAAAATTCGCCAGTGTGGTGGTGTGCACCTATAGTCCCAGCTACTTGGGAGGTTGAGGCAGAAAGATCCCTTGAGCCCAGGAGGTTGAGGCTGCAGTGAGCTGTCATTACACCACTGCCCTCCAACCTGGATGCCAGACAAAACAAAACAAACAAAACTCAAAACAAACAAACAAAAAAAGAGGATAAGGTAAAAGCCCAACACACTGAGGGGAGTAGAGCAGAGGTCCCGGTGGGGCCTGGGTCCTTGACATCTCCACCCCCACCCACGCCATGCTGGGATGACCAACCTCTAGACATCTGAGAGAAACAGTAATGGCCCTGTGGTTATTTTGCAACTCTGCAGATGCCGGCCAAAGGGCCAAAAACCACAGGCCACTAAATCACCTAAGGACTAGTTTAAATACAGCTCCCCAAACCACACCACTCTAGTAAAACTTTATCTCTGTGGGAGGGGCTTAAGAATCTGCATTTGATACTTCCTAGCTGTACTGGTTTCCTATTGTTGCTCTAACAAATTATCATAACCTTAGTGGGTTAAAATGATCTCATATAGTTCTGGAGGTCAGAAGACTAAAATCAAGGTTTTGAGAGGGCTGGCATTCTTCCAGAGGCTTCAGGGGAGGCCCTCTTTCATGTCTTTTCTAGCTTCTAGGGGCTGCCCTGCATTCATTCCTTGGCTCATACCCCTTCCTGCTTCTTTAGAGCACATCATTCCAACCCTCGCTTCCATTATCCCATCTCCTTCTTCTGCATTTGACGTTCCTACCCGACTCTTATAAGGACCCCTGTAATTACACAGAGCCCAGCCAGATAATCCAGGATAATCTCCCCATCTTAAGAACGCTAATTACATTTGCAAAGTCTCTTTTGCCATGTAAGGTAATACAGGGAGCCTTACTCTGACCACCACACCAGCTGATTATGGAACCACTGAAAATCAGATTTAAGCCACTGCTGGTTGGCTTTTCTGTAATCTGCAGGTGAAAACATCTTAATAAACCACTTACTGGTGATAAAAATTTTAATTTAGCAGTTCTCAGTGGGAGCAGAGGTGGGGGATGAGGGGACACAGGAAAAGATCTTTGAAAGCTATGCACATTAGAATCATTTGGAATCTCTTTTCAAAATATACGTACCTGGGTCCTGCCCCAGACCCATGGAACTGGGATACTCTGGTATATATAGGTGAACAAACTTCCCTGGGAGATTCAGCTGCAATCCCCAGCTAAGATCCACTGAATAACCTCCAACTATGCCTTAGCTTTCTTATCTGTAAAATGCCAAAATATGTCCTGCCTATCTCTCATGATTTTGAAGAGATCAAAGTAGGCAAAGTATATACAAACACTTTGTAATTATAAAGAGCTATGTAAGTATAACTGGTGATTGGCCGGGAATAGTGGCTCACGCCTATAATTCCAGCTTTAGGAGGTCAAGGCTGGTGGATGACTTAAGATCAGGAGTTCAAGACCAGCCTGGCCAACATGGTGAAACCCCGTCTCTACTAAAATGCAAAAATTAGCCGGGCATGGTGGTGCATGCCTATAATCCCAGCTACTTGGGAAGCTGAGGCAGGAGAATTGCTTGAACCTGGGAGGCAGAGATCTCAGTGAGCTGAGATCATGCTACCACACTCCAGCCTGGGTGACAGAGTGAGACTCCATCTCAGTAAATAAATAGATAGATAGATAGATAGATAAGTATAACTGGTGATTATTAGAGGAAACTGATTCAGGCTGTAAATGTTGGTGTATAAAA